CCCCCCCCCCCCCACACACACACACACGGTCCCTGTGGGACACTCCATCTGCCCCACCATCTCAGCATTCACGAGCCATGCCTGGTACCTTGAGGTATGTAGAAAAAACATTTAAAGATGTGTCTATGGCAGAATTGCTGATTCTCCGAATCAGCATTGAATCTTCAGATTCAGATTCGGCTGAATTGAATCAGGACAGGGATCTGGATCAACTAATTGAATCGCTGTCCCCAATTCACACCGAATCTGAATCCAAATCAAATACGGTCCATTTCACACAACCCTAATGAGCATCTAGTATTCTTAATAGACGCTGGTTAATGTTGTGGCATAGTATGGCTTCTTGGCTTTATGTATGTGCTTTGTCGGCAAATAGTCCGAATTCTTTTCTCGCTGCTCTTTGTTCACATAATGAAGGGGTTGCAATGCCCGTCCATCCTGCCTGAAACAGAAACAAACAGTTATCTGTTTGCCTTGCAGATAATATTCTCTGAGGACTACCAGCAAGAGAATGGGCTGACCTGGCACAAGAAACACTTTACCTGCCTGGAGTGTGAGACGCTGCTGGCTGGCAAATCTTTCAGCCTGGATAAAGGAAAGATTCTCTGTACAACTTGCAGCAAAAGCAAGCATCCCTAAACACCAAGTAATGGAAAAAACAAAGTCTGTTCTCCTAGATTCAAACAAGAATTATGTTCAGAATAGACCCCTGCCTGTTCACTAGCAGGCAACTAGAAACCCCCTTAAATTGAACAGGTTTGAAGGGAAAAAAATGACTCTTTTGGGGGGAACAAAAAGCAAATTCATATGCAGGGGAGGGAGGGAAGAAGGGGAAAGAGATCTTTCGACTCTTACTAGGAAGGAATAGAACCTAAACCACTGACATAAGTAGTTTCTGTAGCTTATCCACATTGGGTTAAACCTCATAGTAAGAACAGGTGAGCTATTTGAACCCAAGAAGTCCTCACCCAGACTTCCAACTGAAAGATCTTGCTGCATTCTTTTCTGAAGTAATAGCTCTCAAAATTAACATTTTGGCATACAAAGCTGGTCAATTTGGTGTACTGGTTTTCCTCAGTGAGTAGGGGGCAAGACGATTGTTTCAGTTATCCTCTAAGAGCCTTGCATGTCTAAACTAATGGCAGAGTTGTACAACACTGACTAATCTAACTATCTCTTTGAAATTTGGCTCAATACAAATGTTCCTGGCAATTCTGAATATATAGCAGCACACCCATAGGCTCATATGATCTTCACTTTGTATCCACCTGCAAAGCCTTTTACAGCTGGTGGATCTGTAGGAAGCGGCACTGTTTCCTCTGATTAGTAACACACTGGTCTCAAAGGCAGGAAAGGCATTTAAAATGTGAATCTCAAACACCATATTTTTGGCCTGGAAACATATGTTCTCACGAGAAGAGTCTGCCATACTGTGTCATATGTGCTGTGATGCCAGCCTTTCCCATAGTGCTTTAATATTTCCACAAAACAATAGAAAAAAAAAACCCTTTCATTTGTGGTTTTCAGGCTATGGCTATCTATTCACCAAATACTGGATTGAAATCGTCAGCTGAATTTTCATCAGATGAGCCACTGAATGGCCCCCAAATTTTTACAACACCATCCTGTGCTGGATTACAACCAGCAATCTGTCATGTTACCACTCCCTCACATTCATCTGACTCTTTCAATAGACAGAGAATAGCCAGATCACTGACATGTGTATGTCTATATTTGCTTAGTTTCTACATACCTAAATTACTTTCTAAAAAGAAGTGGAATATAGTTTGCAAAAATATTGCAGAATTAGACATGTAATAAGTTAACACTTGCTCACTAACCGTTCTTTGAAATGTGTAAGATGCTTGTATCTCTCCTTTGGAGAGATTAGGTGCACTCTGAATATGGGCATAACTGCAATCATAGTACTACATATAAAAATGAATCCAATTTTAATTGCTAATTAACTTACAACTTTGAAAGTTAGATGCACACACCCAGCTCTGAACTTTGCACTTCTTCAGCTGCATATTTGAACACACATGCTGTTTGCAAGTCAACACCCATATGTATAGTACATTAGTTTGACTTTGAACTCAGCTTCACTTCTGACATGGAAAAGATCTGTCAATTTGAGTGAATCAGTAGAAGCCAACATCTGTGGGTAGGGGTAGTTTTTGAATGGATTTATCTAAACATGAGTCTGTTTGGAGATATACATTAAAATTCAAAGGGAAATCTCTTATGGATGATAATAACTTATCTAACATGATTTTAATTGGTATTCCTGGACATCATAGGACATTGAAATAAATAAATTAAATCCTACCTCCAGGACTAAAACAACAGCATCAACAATTCTGAGGTTGTGATAAGTCTTGGGAGTGATGAAAATGTATTGTCTGTTTGGTAGCTACACAATGCATATTCCTGGGATTGCCTGTGGCTGTTTTGTCAATATGACTCATCTCTGATTGTATCATGGATATTTTGACTATTTGGGGGTATCAGTTACTTCTGTGAACTCAGTAGAACGCTATAAATCAACAGATGTGTCAACTCCCAAGTTATGCTAAGAATTATTAAGCCCTGTTTGAATAGCTTTGGATACAAGTAGTCAACGTGCTTTGAATGTTAGCAATTGTGAATGAAAAATAAAACTTGTGGCTTAGTTCTACTGCAGTTTTACTGACTGACTTATTATAGTATCATGAATTATTGATGCTGAACTGACGTGGACTTTATAAATCCTTTTTTTTAATTAAAAAAAGTAATGTTATACCTTAATAGATTAAGAAGGGCAAAAAAAAAAAATAAAAAAACAACCTTACACAATGTAAGAAAGGGGTAATGTGGCCTGAATCCTGTGGGAAAACATTATTTTGATAAAGTAAATAGAAGTTCATGATAAGAAAGCATTTTCAATTTGTGCGCAAAACTTGTTGTGTTATAGCCAAATTGCCTCTCGAGATGTGAGTGTGTGTTGTGCATGTAAACAATACATATCTAGGTAATGCATAAATTAATGCAATGAACCTGAAATGCCACTAAATTAATAGGCACTATATATAACACATCTTTGAGTTCTTTCTCCCACCGTGGGGAGTCTTATTTTGCTCAGAGATGGCTGCTTTTTTTTTTTTTTTTTTTTTTTTTTTTTTTTTTTTTTTTTTTTTTTTTTT